TGATCATGGCTCCAGGAGGACTACTACAACCATTGACACTTCCAAACAGAGTTTGGGAGGAAGTGTCCATGGATTTCATCGACGGCTTACCCAGATCAGAAGGATTCACGGTCATCCTGGTGGTAGTTAACAGACTCAGCAAATATGCACACTTCATCCTCTTATGACATCCTTGTGTCAGTAGTAGCAGCATTTATCAGGGAGGTTATTAGACTGCATGGGATTCCTGAATCGATTGTGTCTGATCGAGACAAAGTGTTCCTCAGCCAGTTTTGGAGGGAACTGTTCAGGATGCAAGGCACGGTCCTAAAGAGAAGCACCGCCTATAATCCACAGACAGACGAGCAAACGGAGGTGGTAACCGAAGTTTGGAGACCTATTTGAGGTGTTTTGCTTCTGAAGCTCCGCAGATGTAGGCAAAGTGGCTACCTTGGGCCGAGTATTGGTACAATACGTCGTAACATTCTGTCTCTCAGATGACCCATTTAAAGTGTTTTATGGAAGGGAAGCCCCACACCTAGTGCACTATGGGAGAGGAAGTACACCGATTTCTTCAGTTGAGCAGTACCTAGAGGAAAGGGACAAGATGCTGGAAGAATTAAAGAAACATCTGCTGAGAGCACAACAAATCATAAAGAAGCAGGCGGACTCACACAGGAGGGACATGCAGTTTGAAGTGGGGGAGAAGGTATTCCTAAAACTATGACTCTACAAGCAAAGGACAGTAGCGAGAAGGATGAATGAGAAATTGGCACTAGGGTACTTCAGCCCCTATGAAGTGTTGGACAAGATCGAAGCAGTGGCGTACCGACTGAAGTTGCCCCCATCAGCTACCATACATCCAGTTTTTCATGTATCACAGTTGAGGAGAGCTATTGGTGAGCATTCAGCTAGTACGCATTGACTGAGGAATTGGAAGTAATATTAGAGCCACTGGAGCTTACAGGAGTAAGATAAGATAAAGAAGGCAATAAAGAAGTGCTGATTAAGTGGAGAGGTCTTTCCGATTTCGATGCGACTTAGGAGCCAATGGAAAGAATGAAAAAGCAATTCGCTTCCTTTCACCTTGAGGACAATGTGAGTTTTTGGGAGGGGAGTGATGTTATGCCGCCAGCCCAGGAAGGGCTGGCTGGACCGGTCCTCTTTTACTCCAGGCAGCCCCACTTGGGGCAGGATCAGAGCAGGGGGGGGGCCTTGTGGGCCCAAGCACTTAATGTAATGAGCTTTAGGAGGGAAAATTTGAATTAAGGGGCTGTTTAGGAATTTTTAATTAGTCCTTTTGCTTTAATTAGGAGTGAAGGTGTGAGTTAGGGTTTCATCTTGAGATTTGCTGAAATTTTGATATCTCCTCTTGGTTTTGGGCTCTAGGCTTTGCTAGAGAGCTTTGGAGAGTTGTTCTTCCTCTCGGATTGAAGAACATTGTATCGTTTACTATTTTTATTCGTCTACTAATGGAATACAAGTGAATTGCTTGGTTTTGTCTCAGATTTCCATCTGTATTTCTCTGTTTAGTGCTGTTTTCTGCTGTAAACAGCAGTAAATCTGATGTTTGCTCATCCGTTTTGGTTAGGTTGGTTGCGAACTCAAGTATTACCTTAGGGTTACTTGCGGACTCAAATATTTCCTATCATCTTACTCCTGAGTTGTTAAATGCATATGAATTTTATGATAAGAATTGTTTTTCAGAATAGCAGACAAAATGCAATAGAATAATAGAAGAGTCAAATATGACGGTGGTAAGCTTTTTACCATGGACAAATATCGCTGGGGGCAAACTGGTTGTTGTAACTCTTAACTGAAAATGGAAAAAGAAAAATATGGGTCATGAAAAAGGGACCACGTATTTTTGTTCATGAGTTACACTCCTCAAAATGAATAACTGAACAGCCACCGAGAAGGAAAATGGAAAGATACAAGAAACAGGTCACATTTTATGGGCATTTATTTTTTTAAATGGAAGCGCATAATAGGTACAACGAGGACAAAGGGCAAAGCCATTAATTGTAATCATTAACAGATCGATTTTAAAAGGAAATGAACTGACAACGCTAGAAATTTGAGGATGCTCTTGGCAAATATGAACGTATGGCCATGGTAGACTTAGCGGAAGAGATGTCTGAGCAAGCTTTTGAAGGAGATAAATCAGAGGTAGCCAATCACAATTGGTTGTAGTTTTTTCCGATTTTCTTTTGGCTAGCATAGGTTTGACTTCAGAGTCAGATTTACATAGTATAAGCAAACTTGAGTTTGAAGAGCAAGATGACTGGAGGCAAGATCCCTAGAAATTAAAGAGCAAGATGATTGGAGGGAACTTTTCAGCAACTACTTCAGAGAAAGCCAACTCCCTACAGATAAATCATCAGCTAAGCAGATCAAGAAGAGAACATTACGATATGTATTTGTCAACAACACGCTATATCGAAGATCATTTGATCAAATGTGGATACGATGTTAAGGAAAGATGAACCTGATAAAATCATTTCTAAAGTTCACAAAGGACTATGTAGTGCGCATCAATTGGGTCCTAAAATGATCATTAAAATTAAAAGAATGGGCTATTATTGATCATCAATGGTAAAGGATTCCACCAATTATACGGATAAATGTCATGAATGTCAAATTTATAGTGATATCATACATCAACCGCCAAATCAGTTATATCTCACTATAGCATCCTGACCATTTAAATGTTGAGGGACAGATGTAATACGGCCAACTGATCCGCCACATCAGTTGGACATCATTTTATATTCGCAGCAACAAATTATTTTTCTAAATGGGCTAAAGCAGTTTCATTTAAAGAAGTCACTGCTAACCATGTAATCAACTTCTTTACTCATAATATTGTCTATATATTTGGTGTACTGCGCCGCATAATCTTAGACAATGGTCCAGCTTTTAAAAGCTCTAAGATTTACAAATTCATTACAACAACAACAACATCAAGCCTTTGTCGCACTACGTGGGGTCGGCTACATGAAGCCTTTTTAGCCATTGTGTCCGGTTAAAAGTCAAATTCTCATTTAAATCTAATAAATAAATATCATTTCTAATATTTTCTAACCAAGTCTTTTTACGTCTACCTCTACATTTCTTAACATAAGTCAAATCTAATATCTCAACTTTCCTAACCGGGTCATCGAGAGGCCTTCGTTTAATGTGACCAAACCATCTAAGGCAACTCTCTCTAATCTTATCTTCCACTGAGCTACTCCAGCCTTTTCATGTATATGCTCATTTCGTATCCTATCTCTAAGGGTCAAGCCACTCATCCATCTAAGCATCCTCATCTCTGCAACACTTAACTTAGTATTATGCTTCTCTTTTAATGGCCAACATTCGGCACCATAAAGATTTACAAATTCATTAAACGGCATAAAATCAATTGGTGATATTCATCGATTTATAATCCAATAGCAAATGGATTAGCAAAAGCCTTCAACAAAACGTTGGTAAAACTGTTCAAGAAAATACTAGCTAAAAAAAAAGAATGGCATACTTGTTAAGAGAGTTGCTATTTGCATGTTTTACATTCTTGCAACTTGTAAAGTTTTGATGATTCCAAATATTATTGTTTTAAAATTTTGTTTTCTCCTAACACTTTTTAGAAGAATTGTTTTTGCTCTTGTGTGTACTAACATTTCAGGATAATCGAACTCCAGACTAATGAAAACTTCAAATCAAAATTCAGCATGAGATAATTTGTAAATTGAAGCTTGTATTTTTCATTGTATTAAGTTTGAGAGAGAGTGATTGCAATTAAGTAACTTAGCACACACACACTTGGGGAGATCTTTAAAATTCATACAGATCGTACGGGATGAACCATGTTCGTACGAGACGATCAAGTTAGTTATCACCTCAGAAGAGCAATGGAACGAACATGAAGTAAGAAAATTTTTCAAATTCCTGATCGTCCAAATGAATTTTTCTATTCGTCCCAGGACAAAATGCTCTCTGGAAAATTTTCGTTTAGACGAAATCCTATATTCGGCCCAGGACGAAATGCTCTCTGTAAAAATTTCGTCCAGACGAACTTCAATTCGTCCCAGGACGAAATGCTCTCTGTAAAACTTTTGATAACTTCCTGCAGTTTGTCGAAACCGACCCATGGTATAACTGTTCGTACCGGACGAACTTAGTTCGTATGGGACGATATTCGGGTACGAAGTCAGTTCGTACCAATATACATTGGGTTCGTATGCGACTGATTTAAGTAAGTTCGTCCAGGACGATCCACTATGTACAAACTTGAAAATCAACAATTTTTGGACGGTTTTTTGTGTCTTTCCTATATAAAGTCCAATTAGAATTGCCTCTTAATCTTTTTGCCTACTGATCTTCATGCCTACTGAAAGGAGAGTCAAGAAGAGAGTGTGAGAGAGTGTTTGAAGGAGGATTCTTACTACTGGAGAGTGAAAGTTTCACTTGGTACTCAAAGGTAAGAGTCTCTAATTGTGGTTTTTGATTACTTCACTATTTTCTCTCTTCCTTCTAGATTTCTTGTGAGAAGATCTGTCAAGCAGATCCGGTTCTCTACCGACACTTGGAGAGTGTGAACAGTCGTAGAGTTCTCTGCCCAGCCGTCCTGTGCCCACACTTGGAGAGTGTGAAAGGACAAAGGGTTCTCTGCCCACACTTGTAGAGTGTGAACAGCCGATGGGTCCTCTGCCCACACCGGGAGAGTGTGAAAGGACGAAGGGTTCTCTGCTAACACTGGGAAGAGTGTAAAAGCACAATGGTTCTCTGCCGCACCGGGTAGTGGTGGAAGAGAGTTTTGTAAAGGCTTCTCCGCCTTGTTGTGGGTGCAAAAGGAGAGTCACTAGTGGTATTAGTGCAATACTCGAAGGGTGCCTCCGGGGAGTGGATGTAGGTCGTGTTTGACCAAACCACTATAAATCTTGTGTCTTTTTTAATTTTCGCTGCTTTTTAATTTTTACTGTTTCAACTTGTGGTTGAAAAATCTCTTTCTATAAAATTCACTAAAGTTAATTCTCGGTTTTAAATTTTTAAAAGAGGGATTAATTTTTTAATTATCAATTCACCCTCCCTCTTGGTTATCCACTGGAACATAAGCTTAGGTTTAACAACCTAATTCATATTGAACAAGTTTCAACAATACTAAAGCATTATGGGCATATCATAGTACATACAAGACACCAACAAAAAAAAATCCTTATGCACTAGTGTTTGGAGCTGAAGCTGTGTTACCACTTGAAATTGAATTGTCGTCACTTCAAGTAGTTGTTTAGTATGACCTCACGGAAGAACAAAATGCTTGCTTGTGAATGGAAGAACTTGATGCACTAGATGAAGTCAAGCTCCAAGCTCAACGAAAATTAAAAATTTATCGAGTAAGAATGGTAAAATTTTTTTACCGTATGGTACGCCATTGAGCATTTCAAGAAGAAGAATTAATCCTGGTGCTGAGAAAACCAATTATCCCACATCGAAGTATTGATAGTAAATTCGAATCAAATTGGGAAGACCCTTTTGTCATCAAGAAGGTGTACTAGGGAGAAGCCTATCAACTCATCAATATGGAAGATTGACGACTTATGCCTCTGATCAATGGGAGATATCTAAAAAAATATCATTCATAGAAAAACAAACTGAAGATCATTCTCTTACAAAAAGAAATGTCTTAGAAATTCTCCTACTAGACACTAGACATTTTTTAAGTTTTAAAAATGTGAAAAATCTAATGATAATAAAAAATCGAAGCCCACATGAAACTAAATAAAAATAGGTCCTCCGATACATTTCACATTAATAGAAATTATAATTGTCACTTCTAATTTGACTTTCCCTTGCACAACTTTGTCACTGCCCAAGAATTCACACCAAGAGAGAGTTAACAAAGGGGATGGAGCAGCTATCTGAGATGATCCCCAAGTGAATAGGGCTGTTGAGCCGTAATGTATACATAAGGATCTTGCGGTGGGTGCTATTGAAACTGTTCACGACCTATCAATAATAGCAAAGGATTTTGACATGAAGAAACCTCCATTCCTATTTTCATAAACCCAATCAATTTATTTGAAAAAGGTAAATTAGTATCATTGTTTGCATCTCAGCTATTATTGTTACAATTATCTAAGTAGATTAAACTCATATTGAAAAAATTTGAATTGATTTTGCAGATGTTGAAGTAATTCTGAAGTGGCACAGGGATGGGAAAAATTGCCACAATGAATATGCCCAATAAATTATTTTTAAAAATTAATAACCCAAGTCAGCTTGATATGCATATTGTTGAATTGACTCAGTTCCAAGCTGATTAGGAGTATTTTACTAAAAAAATCATTGGCAAGATCATAAATCTTGAGAACTAGTTGGGAACCATGTACTCGAGCTTGTGTATAGCAATGTCATGAGACAGCTAAGCACAACCATCACCATGCAAACAACAGGCTCGAAATAGTAAAGAACATAAGAAAAATTGCATTTTCTAAGTTGAATATCTTTGTAGATTAAGCCAAGTAGATAGCGCATATCAGTATTCAACAAGTGAACAACAATTGAAAGATGCCCAAACTATGAACGAGAGGTTACTGAAACTGATCAATAAAAAATGCAAAAATCTCTATTGAAATAAATCAAAGATTGAAGCACAAATGACTTAGAAGCAAATTTAAATAGATTTATAGATATGCATGCCAAACCAGAAATGAAGACTTGAAAAACCAGGCCAATTTTGTTGAAGAGAAGTTGAGATTCTCCGAAGAAATTGTACGGCAATTCCATAATTCCCCTGAAGATACAGGCTTTGAAATTACAGATTGTAGAGAGAAAATAAGAACAAATAGTCAAAAAAGCTCCAACTATAATCTTTAAAGTCAACAAACCATGAAATTATTATAAAAGAATTAAAAAATTCAAATACGTCTTTTGAAGATTCTCTCCACTGTATTGAAGAGGACATCAAAACAAATGACTTCAGTACTGTAAGGGGCCTGCAAATCAAAGAAAATTAAGAAAAACTTTATTTATTTAATGAGGTTGTTTTTAAGTATTGTATGAGCGATGGTTTTATGAAAAAAGATTGAGATGGGAGCGTAAATAATAAAACATGAGATTTTATTTAGGTAGAATAATGAATGATTATTATAATGTTCTCATGATTTGATGAGGACATCGACAGACGCTACCGACATGTTTATCGCCGGCGAAACCGCAGATCGACGGCCACGATTCAGCGCCTCTACTTTTGATTGAGATGACATGATGTATTTTATTATTGTCTGTTTTGATTTACTGTTTCCCATTTTACCCCTGTGGGGAGTTATGTTTCTTTGTAGCCCAGAGGGCAATTTAGTCTTTTTCACTTTTATGAGTCAAGACCTATATATAGTGGTCTCTTGTATCATTTTGAGCTTAATGAAGAATTGAATGAAATTTGTGTTTTATTTCTACTTCGTCTTGCATGAGTGCTTGAGAAGGAGGAGAGCTCACGTGGAGCAATTCGCAAGGCCCACCAATCGTTGGAAGAGTCCTCGATTCGTGGTTAGATTTTTTTGTTATCTTCTCACTCGTTTTCATATTCACCTTCCTTCCATCCTCCACAAAACAGCCCTCCCATTTCCCCTAGCCGCCGGCCATTAGACATCCACCACCGGCCACATCCCTAGCCCCGGCCGAACACCCCACCGGCCACCTCCACCATAACCGGCCACCCCATCCCACGGTTATTTGGAATTTTGAAATTTGAATTTCAAACTTCCAAAATCTTTCCTAATTTGGAACGCCAAATTTGGAAAGTTTTCATGACAAAATTCTAATTTCAATTTGATTTTAAATTGAGATCTTGAATGAGTCGCCACATCACCATCCTAAATTAGAAAATTCTCCCCTTCAAATTCCCTTCCTCTCCCAAGCATGCCGCCGGCCTCCACCTGGAGAATCCCCCATTAAATGCGACATTAATGCCTTGACCGTTTTGGACTCCTAATTTGGACTCAATATTTTTCCCTCCCAAATTATTTAAAACTGAAATTACAATCAGTTTTAATTTGGCTAACCCTAAATCCCCCTAAGCATGCCGCCGGCCACCTTTTAATGAGCCCCTTTAATGGCTCATTAAATCCCCTCTTAACTCCATCCTAATTTGAATTCTCTTTTCAAATTTTTCCCTCCAATCTTACTAAAATCTGAGAATTAACTTTTTGAATGAACTATTTTGGTTAATCTCAAGTGCATCTCTTTGGCCTAAGCGAAGTTAACGTTTCTAATTCTTAACTTTATCTTGCCTGATCCACATAAATTTATAATAAGCAAACTTTAACAATTCTCTTTTAATTTTGATCGTAACTCCTAGTAGTTTCACATCATGATTATCATAAGATCATTATAGGAAATGTTGTAATTACTATATGAATTGTTCGTCACTTTTGCATGAATTTTCACGGCAATGTTAAATTTTATGCATACTTTTGCAGGAATTTTCAGGGATATGTTAGTTTTTTATGCATACTTAATGATGGTAGCCAACCACCTAATGATTGGATAATTTGCAAATTGATGGCTTCAAAGTTACAAAACTTGAAGAAGGAATTTAAGTTGCAGTCAGGTTTTATTTGGGACAGCTTTCTTACTGCTTTCTAAAGCATATTTTTAGTAAAAAAAAATAACTATAATTTTTTGTATTAGAAAGCTAATTTAGAAAACAATAAAAAACTGTCTCAAACGAAGCTTCAATCTTTATAATGAGGATGAAAGTTATAAATATTAAAGTAAGAGAGTTAAAATTGAGACGTCATCAAAAATTATCTTGACCGGGCATGAATATTGAGGCATATTTGAATTAGAAACTTCTAAAATTAAATTCAAGTCAATCTGAAATATGATTTCAACAAACTTTTAGTCGAACTACACATCTCAACGAGACGAACCAAGCAACACAAAAAATGGTCCAATCCAAACATGAAAGAGCATAAATCAAGAGTCAAAAGCGTAATGAAAAATTCAAGACATTAATTGGACGAGTATATGATCTCCAAATTTGGCATGCTTATAGTTGAATCGAGTGACTTGATAAGATGAATCTAACAAGCTTAAGATCTCTCAATTCTGACATCATTAAGGCACTTAAATGTTGAAAAAAAAAATTATGATCGAGGGAATCAATATATGCCTTTTGATGGAGTGTTGCAGATCTTCACCGTATTTATGGCATGTTACTCTCAAAAATTTATAAATAAACCCCCACTCTCTACCTTAAGAAAAGGAGGAGCTTAAACTTAGAGCTTAGACTTGGTCTAGAGAATAAAGAGAACTTTGAGGCTCTAAAGCTCAATAGTCATCATTGATCCTTCGTCGGCCGATTACTACGACTCTTAGACCATCTTCACCTGACAACAATCCTCAAATCATTGTTACCAATCTACAGTCCTTCCAATCTCTGTCAACCACTGACCATAGTCTTTTGACCACAACACTTGACTACAGTCTTTGGACCACTGTTGAATTACTACGGTCCTCCGACGCCATGACTACAGTCCTTATGACCTCTATAGCCCACCAACTACGATCCTCGAACTAACATCATTCGACTATGGGTACTTCAACATCGTCGCCTAATTATGGTCCTTCTGACCTCCACCGACTACGATCCTCTAACTCACATTTCCCATCAACTATAGTTCTTCGATCACTGTCACCCGACTACGATCATCAAACCACTATCGCCTGACTACAGTTCTAAGATCACTATCATCCGACTACTATGGTGGGACCTATAACACCCGTTGAATATGGTCCTCCAATTACCATCACCTAACTATGATCTTCAAAGAACGCCCGAAAATAGTCCAGGGACCATCATCACCCGAGTACATTCTTACAAATACCATCATCAAACTACAGTACTTCCAACCTTCGTCGCTTGCCAACTACAATCCTCCGACCTTCATTGCCAGGTTAATAACCACTAACATACAATCTCCTGACCAATGTCACCTAGCTACATTAATGTCTACTAGCTACTTTAATGTCTACCAACTTCATCAACTACATCACCAATTATGCCAATGCAAATTGATGCATATCGTCGACATCAACTATCACCTCCAACTTCAACACTTGGATTTGTGATGGATTCTTGTCATATGGCTCTTTCAACTTCAACGAACTAATATGTTCTTTGCAATGTATTAATGCCTTCTGCCTAGGAAGGGTTTCACTAGTAATCTCATACAAATATTAGTGTAATCACTTTAAATAAGTCAAACCCCGTGATTTTTCCCATTCCAGAATTTTTCACATAAAATTTAGTCCTTACAATTCTTGCACTCCTCTCTTATTTATATATGTGCTGAATTTTAGTAACAAACTAGGACGTTAAATTTTCTATTTCTCTACCACCACAAATGTTCCAGCACAACAAAAATCAGAAGTTTGATCTACAAAATTTGAAAATGGGAGTCACGCTCAATCTTTATCACAAGAATGAGTTACAAATATTAAAGAAAGAGTTACAATTCGAGAACTTGGAGCTACAAATTTTGAATATGGGAGTCACACTCAATCTCTATCATGAAGAGCTCTCAAGTTGTGATCGATCCACTTTAATTTTTCCCATTAATGTAGCAAGTTTTATAATGCTTATTTAAACTCATATTCTACATCCAAATAATATGACGATATGAAAATGTGAGTCTACTTGTGAGATATTTGAAGTAGATTTGTAGATGATAGGAAATACTTGAGTTCGCAAGTAACCCTAATGGGAAATACTTGAGTTCGCAAGCAAACTTAACAATAATTGGTAAAAACAACGAGAAAAACTCAAAAACTTCAGTGAAAACAATCCAAAATAGTAGATTGTATTATAGGAATCAAATCAAAGCAAGCACATAGCAAAGATACAATTGATCCTCAATTCGAGAAGAAGATCATTCTGTCCCAATCACTAGACGATGAGTCTAGAGCCCAAGACACCAAAGAGAACTCCAAGAGAAACAATAATCAAGCATGCCCTAACCCTAACCTCTCATGCTCTTTAAATACATATCTTCCTAATAAAAGCTGCCTAAAATAAACCAAATTCAAAATAACCTCCATATGCTTTAGTCGGCTCCTTCCCTCTCTCTATTTGTTGCTTGGGGGGGGGGGGGGGGGGGGGGGTGCGTGCGCAATTTCTAAGGAGGTGGCTTAGCCCGTCTCCTATAGAAGTGAACCGGCCCCACCTAGGCCGGTTTGGTTGGTTTAGGAAGAATCGTAACAGTACTCCCTGCCAAATAACCACCTTGTCCTCAAGGTAAAAACTAGGAAACTGATGTTTCACCCTCTCATAAGGTTCCCATATGGCATTGTAGTCTGGAAGGCTTTTCCGCTTGATCAGCACTTCTTTAGCTCCATCTTCCCTCTGGCGAACCCCCATCATATCTAAGGGTTCCAAAATCACCTCTAAATCCTTCGTGAGTGTCACCGGTAACTCTGAGTTGGCTGCATAATCTCCAATTGCCCTTCTCAACTGGGATACATGAAAAATAGGGTGTATAGTCGCCGTTGGTGGTAGCGTCAACTGATACGCAACTGCTCCAATCTTCTCCAAGACCTCATATTGCCCAAAGAATCTTCGAGCAAGCTTCTCATTTCTTCTATTGGCAACTAATTTTACCTATACGGTCTCAACTTCAAAAACACCATTTCCCCTACCTCAAACTGGATATCCCTCCTATGCCCGTCAGCCTGTTTCTTCATGATTTGTTGAGCTCTCAGAAAATGTTTTTTCAATTATTTCAATACTTTGTCCCTCTCCTCTAAATACTCCTCTACTGATGAAATTGGAGTGCTGCTCTCTCCAAAGTGCACTAAGTGAAGTGGGCCCCTTCTGTACAACACCTTAAAGGGTGTCGTCTGCAAAACCGAATGATATGAGGTATTGTATCAATACTCCTCCCAAGATAACCACTTGTCCCATAACTTGGGCGTCCACGACACAAAACACCTGAGA